ATAAGTTCTTGGGAAACCTATTGTCTACCCACAGCAGGTTCCAGGCAGGGAGCCAAGCAAGGTGGAGAGGAACTGTGCCACCGGGCAGCGGCCTTGCCAGCTGGCCCTGGCCCCCCCCCCCCCCCCGGCTTTGCCAAGGGGGGCTTACGACACATCTCCAGGAGCAGTGGCTATGCCGGCTAGTCCTGACCCCCTGGCTTTGCCATGGGGGGCTAGTGGCGCCCACAGACAACTGAGAAAATAGTTTTTATTAAATTCAACCAGCATGTGTCCAACATCCAATACCAGTTTTTACAAAAAGCCCACATGTACAATGCAGGGTTAGAATTGTACAGAGAGAATGAGACATGACATTGCTCCCCCAGTAGTTCTCTAGACGAGGCTTCACCCAGCAGACAGTAGCATGTGGTTAAGCACCAGGAGAGTGACACAGCTAATGCTTTTCTACATGATTCTTCTTTTAAAATATATTTTATTGATTATGCCATTACAGTTGTTCTATTTCCACTCTTCATTCCCCTCCAACCTGCACACCCCCTCCCCCTACATTCCCCCCTTTAGTTTATGACCACGTGTCTCAAGTTCTTTAGATTCTATATTTCCCATACTATTCTTGCCCTCCCCCCTATCTATTTTCTACCTACCATCTATGCTACTTATTTTCTGTACCTTCTCCCCCCTTCTCCTTCTCTCCCTCCCTTGTTGCTAGCCCTCCATGGGATCTTCATTTCTACAGTTCTGCTCCTGATCTAGATGTCCTCTTAGTTTGCTTTTGTTTTAGGTGTGGTTGTTAATAATTGTGAGTTTGCTGTCCTTTCACTGTTCATATTTTTTATCTTCTTTTTCTTAGATAAGTTCCTTTAACACTTTATATAATAAGGGCTTGGTGATGATGAACTCCTTGAACTTGACCTTATCTGAGAAGCACTTTATCTGCCCCTCCATTCTAAATGAAAGCTTTGAGGGACAGAGCAATCTATTTGTAGGTCTTTGGATTTCATGACTTGGAATAGTTCTTTCCAGCCTCTTCTTGCTTGTAAGGTCTCTTTTGAGGAGTCAGCTTACAGTCTGATGGGAAGTCCTTTGTAGGTGACTGTCCCCTTATCTCTTGCTGCTTCTAGGATTTTCTTCTTCATTTTAATCTTGGCTAATATAATTATGATGTGCCTTGGTGTGTTCTTCCTTGGGTCCAACTTCTTTGGGACTCTCTGAGCTTTCTGGAAGTCTATTGCCTTTGCCAGATTGCGGAAGTTCTGCTTTAATATTTGTTCAAATAAGTTTTCCACTTGTTGCTGTTCCTCTTCCCCTTCTGTAACCCCTATAATTCGAATGTTGGAACATTTAAAGATATCCTGGAGGTTCCTAAGTCTCTCTTCAATCTTTTGAATTTTTGTTTCTTCATTCTTTTCTGTTTGGTTGTTTCTTTCTTCCTTCTGGTCCACTCCTTTGATTTGAGTCCCAGTTTCCTTCCCATCACTATGGGTTCCCTGTGCATTTTGCTTCATTCCACTTAGCAAAGCCTTCATTTTTTCATTTAATTTGCGACTAAAATCAACCGGTTCTGTGAGAATCCTGATCACTAGTGTTTTCAACTATGCATCTGATAGGTTGGCTATCTCTTGGTCACTTAGAAGTATTGGCTCTGGGTCTTTGAGCTGTTCTTCTTTTTGAGCCATAATGTTTCGGTCTGTTTGTGCTTGTTACATATGAGGGGCAGAGCCTTATCTGTTCACCAGGGCAGGGCTACCCAAGTTGCTGGGTTGTGACACTGTATGTGGGGGTGGGGTCAGAGAGGGGCAATGGCATTTTTTTCTGCTCTCTCTCAGATTTCAGTCTCCTGTGCTGTTTCCCACAAGCAAATCGGGCCCTTCTGGTGCTGTTTCCCAGGTGTGTGGGTCTGTGTACCCTCCAGGACCCTGTGGGTCTCTCCAACAAATTCTCTGTGAGCCTGGGAGCCTCTCCCAGCACCTCCACTGCCCGAAAGTTTTTTCCAATTGGTGCTTTTAGGCTTTAATTCCCAGCGCTGGGGCCCTGGATTGCTCAGTCTGTTTCACTGCTCACTCCTCTGCCTAGTTTATCTGTGTGTGAATGTGTGACCAGGGTCAGCCAGCTGCCTTGCGCCCTCACTGGGTTCACCCATTGCCACCGCACACCTGGGATCTGCCAACTGCTGCCTGCATGCCTGGGCTGCTCTGGCCACATTTTCTCGCGCTACCCGTCTCTGCCAGCTGCTGTTTCCGCCCCTTTTACCATTCTGGCTGAATGGTTTGTTGCTCTCGAACATTGGTACAGTTCAATTTTCTCTCTGTTGTGGTCTTTAAATATTTGTTGTTCAAAAACTTGGTTGTGCAAGGAGGTACAGTGTGTCGACCTATGCCTCCATCTTGGCCTTCCACCTGATTATTATTTTATTAAAGGAGTATGCCCGTGAAGTTTACAACTTCCTCATATTGGAACTGAGAGAACTTCCCTTCACGTTATCATTATTACCCCTGCTAGTTTACTTTTCTCTCTCTCTGTCCCTTCTGTGGTGAGGACAGGGCTCAGTGGCAGTTCAAGTGTTTCCCAGTTCTGCTGTCCTTCCACAGGAAGTAGTCAGCTTTTAGCCTGAACGATGGAAGAGCCATTCTGTTGGAGATGGTGGTCCTGAAGCCCACGAAAGTCCCAGCCATATGATCTCAGCTTTCACAGCCCTCAGTGGCCAGGACCTGTGACTCAGGTCTGACTCTGCTTTAACCTCAAGACTCAGGATCTCAGGTTCCTCTGACAGTTTCTGGTGGAGGTTCTTGTGGACCTTTGTTCCTTTAGCTAAAATGATAGTAGCATTTTCAGAATCATGCATTTATCTTGGATTTTCTTGCCAAGTACTAAATTTCTACCAATCAATAGGACAATACCCACATTCACTGAACAATCCCATTCCCGTGCTTTGTTCCAAAATGGTCCAGCCCCGGAGCTGCATTCTGGGATTATATTTTCTCCCTGCAATGTTTTTCTAGCAAGATCTGCTCTGCAGTCCTAGCTCTATCTCTGCTGTGTCCTGGTGACCACGGCAGCAGAGTGCTTCCTCAACACCTTGCCATTTTCTTCACAAAGAAGAAGCTGAGAGGGTCAGTGGGAATGCAAAGAGCTGCTCAAACTCACCGGTCATCCAAGAAGTGCCAATTGAAACAACACTGAACTATCACCTTGGACACATGAGACGAATGGGCATTGAAGGTTGCTAACAGAAAGTGTCAACCAGGATATGAGGAAAACAGGAATGCACAAGATGACAGTCAGGCTCAGTGAAATCAAGCACACCGATGTCCTGTTGCCCAGTATGTCCCATCTGTGGTGTGTATCCTTGTAAAGCTCTGGTGTCCATTGACAAGGCACCTATAGGAAAGTACTCATCACACTGGTGTCTGTAGTGACCAGAAGCTGATTGATTGTACCTGAGGTTCCTTCACCAGTGGTTCTGCTAAGTTAAATGGCCCCAGTTTGGTTTCCTCTAAAACCAGACCTGGTGATGAGGGGTTGCCTTTGTTTAAATAGCTTATTTGGGAGTTGATTTAAGATATCCCAGCACAGGAGTGGGACAGGCAGAGGCCAGGATGGTTTGAGAGTGAGTGAAGGGTTCCTGGTGCAGGTGACCTCAGTGGACACTGGGAGCTAAATCCCATTGGAGACATCAGGAGGCAGTGTCAATGTGGTTCATGCCTCAGAGCAGTTCCACCCGAGCAGGTAGAACGTGTAGGTATTTATCTTTCAACTCCCATCATGCTAAGCTGATTTTGGGTCCCAGGGTGCACCCTGCCTGTGAAAAGGCCCAGAGAAAGCTTTCCCAAATCCGTGCAGCAGCGTGCCAGAACGATGGGCAAGAACAGCTAGTGCCAAAGGGAGAGTCCAAGTGGGTAATGAAGAGAGTTTTAAAAAATATGGTGCAGAGGGAAATGCATAAGCAGCAGCAGGAGTTATAGAGCAGTATCATTAATGTGAATTAAAAAGACAAACAGAAAAAGACAAACCCATTCCTCTAGAACACGTCACATTTATTCCATATACGCAGAGTCCATTCAATGATGTCTCCCAGGACCCCTGGTGGGTGGGAGGTGAGTGGTACCCATGATCTGGCAGAAAAGGAAAACAATAGAGACCAAGGGGCCTCACAACAACTGAAGAAGGAATGTTACAATCTGGGAAGCGAAACTTAAAACATCCATCTCTGCCTCCTTTAGTTTAGGGATCTGCTTTTCCTGGACTCCTCAAATTTCTCACTTCCATGTTACTGTAGTATCCACCAACATGAGCAACAAATGGTTGGAAACTTTCAGGAATTTAAGATGGAACTTTATTGATCAAAGCTTTACCTGCGCAGGGGCGAACTCTGGAGGTGTCCAGAGACATGGTGCCCGGAGGCTGCAAATGAGAGTCGCGCCTGGCGCTTACAGCCTAGGGTTTTTATTGGGGTGAGCAAGCAAGCAAATACAGAAGCAAACGTAGCCGTTAGTGATTGGCTATCTCGAGGGAACACACATGGCTATGCTTTCTGCTTGCAGCAGTGGATACTCTTCTGCAAAGACAAGGTCATGCACAGGCGGTTATCTTGTACAGCACTCTTTACTTTCTGTATTTTCTATCTTCCTTGCTGAGTTCAGAGCCTGCCTCGGATTCCTTGTTCCTCTTGGCTACTTTTATCTAATTCCAGGCCTAACATCACAAATAGGGTGTCTGGCTTCAGGGTCCCTAAGGTGAGGACTGTGTCAAATACTCAAATATGAGGGTCATACCCCTCTCAGGCTGTGACAGGGGCTCCTCAGATAACATAGTGCCCTTCTTCTCTGCTGAGCAGATTTGAAGAGGAGGTGCACAAGGATGACCTTAGGCCCCACAACTACATTTCCCAGAGATCCCTGGGTGATTCCAAGCGGACTTCTGGGGAGGGGCAATGGAAAGCCAATGAGGGCACTTCCTTTTTTGGCTCCAGTGGGAGGAGTGAAGTCGGTTTAGTTCCTGGTGTGGATCCTGGTGGAACTTGGTGAGTGTCTTTTCATGCTTTGAAATTGGGGCTTAATCCTACCTCAGATGTGAGTCTAGGAGGCTAGACACTATTGTGTGTCTGAATTGCAAGTTCAGAGTTGGTTCAGAAGGTGTGGCTGACACCTGCTTTGAGTCCTTAGGCTGTAGGGGCTGCACAGCTGTAAGGGCTGTACAGCTGTGAGGGTAGCGGACCCTGGATGCACACCCTGTGGGTTAGAGTCACAGCCACACCACACTCAGCTGTGGGGACTTGGGCAGGCCACCCAGCATCTCTACAAGTCAGTTTATCTGTCAGTGACATGGAGCTAATTAGAGAGCTTACTTAAAAGGTGGTTGTGAGGATTACAGAGTGTATAAAACCAGCTGTGTGAATAATGTGTGTCAGGGAACTGGATTTCCTTGTCAGATTATGGAAACAGTGAGGTCCACCTCCTCTGTCCCAACTCAGGGTGTCCCAGGGGCTCGGTTAGTCCTGGCAGCAGGGGGTTTGTAACCATCCCTGCTCCCTCCACAGTAGCTGACAAGAATTTCTGCAATAATCCCAAAGGGAGGGGGGCAGGTTGTCTGCAAAGTTGGAGGGAATTCCTGGGGGAATTTTCCTTCCCTGGAGGGAGGCTTGGAGGGAATGGCCTCCAGAAGTTAGGAATGAATTTGGCATCTCAGTCTCTTCTCTAAGAGTTCCTCCAAAAACCTAATTTGAATTGGAGTACCATGCTGCTAAGGACAAATTGCAGCAGTCAGTTCAACAGTTGAATATTGACCATTCAAGAGCATACCAAGGATCTGTCAGACGATCTGCAGGAAAAAGCAGGCCTCTTTCACACGACATTCCAGGCCCTCTGGAAGTTTTCCGTGTATCTCTTCTTAGATCTGCTCACACAGATCTCAGAGGACCACCGGTAGGTCTCACTGGAGTCAGGTTCCCAGAATCAGGCCCTGAGACACAGATCCAGATCCCTGTGCCACTTGCACATGGTCAGCCAGTCTGACCATGGTGCACTTTGCCCAAACTGCAGCATTTTCACAGTGACTTCTCGTCCCGGAGCAAGAGACAACAGAATTGGTTTTAAGGCTGCCCTTACCTGTCTGATTTTATCTCGGTCCACACTGCATCCCCCCTCACTGTGCTCTGATCACCCAGGTTTCCACGTTAAGGCTTTTTAAAACTTCCTATTGTTTCTGCCTATGTGGTCTTTCCTGCATGTGCGACCGTAACTAACTATCACAGCCTACAGGTCATAGTGAGGGTTGCTTTGACTGCTGTATTTGAAATTAAATTTCACTGTGTGCACATCTTCTTTGTTTGCTGTAGTTTTCCCAGAGCACTCATCACATTCTGAGAAATAGCATGTTTTATTTATTTATTCAGTTGACTATCTGTGCCATCCCCACCCATACTGAAATGCAAGACTGCTGAGAGCCAGCAAGTATCACTAGAAAATACATAATAGATTTTCATAAACTTTTTATTGAGTGATTCAATAAATCAATGAGGGGATAAATATAAATCTTTATGTGGGTGCTCATTCCACTGAGCCACACCAGCCAGGGTGTAAACACTATTTTAACTGACACCAATCTGAACTTTTTAAAATTTATTACTAACAAAACCACATATAAACTACTTATTACTTTGCTCATCATTTAATCTGGATTTACAGCTTCTAATGTTTAATACAGGGAACCAGTGATAATACTTTCTGTAAAGGGTTACTGAGACTAGTAAGTGAACTTAAGCTTGTGAAAGCAATTAATACAATGAAAGTAGTAATCAAAAGACTTACGTTGCAGATATTCATCACCCCTGCTTGTATTTAGATATTTAAAATTCATGAATTATAATTAGAAATCCAAGTGCAAAGGTAACAGGATGTGCTCTTGCTTTATTTTCCTTGCCTTAGGCGATCATGGACATTGAAGCATATTTTGAAAGAATTGGTTATAAGAAGTCCAGGAGCAAATTGGACCTGGAAACATTAACTGACATTCTTCAGCACCAGATCTGGACCATTCCCTTCGAGAACCTTAACATCCATTGTGGGAAGCCCATGGAACTGGGCTTGGAGGCCACTTTTGATCAAGTGGTGAGGAGGAAGCGGGGTGGGTGGTGCCTCCAGGTCAATCACCTTCTGTACTGGGCTCTGACCACCATGGGTTTCCAGACCACGATGTTGGGAGGCTACGTGTACAACCCTCCAGACAACAAGTATAGCAGTGCTATGATGCACCTTCTGCTGAAGGTCACCGTGGATGGCAGACACTACATAGTTGATGCTGGGTTTGGACGCTCTTACCAGATGTGGCAACCTCTGGAGCTAATTTCCGGGAAGGATCAGCCTCAGGTGCCTTGCATCTTCCGCTTGACCGAAGAGAGAGGAACCTGGTTCCTGGACCAAATCAGAAGAGAGCAGTACATTCCAAATCAAGAATTTCTTAATTCTGATCTCCTGGAAAAGAAGAAGTACCAAAAGCTCTACTCCTTTACTCTCGAGCCTCGAACAATTGAAGATTTTGAGTCTGTGAATGAATACCTTCAGACGTCTCCAGCGTCTGTGCTTACAAGCAAGTCGTTTTGTTCCTTGCAGACCCCAGAGGGGGGTTCACTGTTTAGTGGGCTTCACCCTTACCTCTAGAAAATTCAATTATAAGGACAATGTGGATTTGGTGGAGTTTAAGACACTGAATGAAGAAGAAATAGGAGAAGAGCTGAAAAATATATTTAATATTTCCTTGGAGGGAAATCTTGTGCCCAAACATGGTGATAAATTTTTCACCATTTAGAGTAATCAGTAGAGATGATCTTCAGTATTGGGTATTATATAGTGAAACTTGTTATAGAAATCAACTATACATAAAAGTAGAGAGAATAAAATAATTAACCTCTATGATGACCGATTGTACCAACTTTCCACTGGTAAACCTATCTCTCATATTTTCTCAATGACCCTATGAGATATTAAAGCAAATTCTACATATTAAATCATTTCAACCTTTAAAAAAGCAGCCTGTGTATTTAGATCACTTTTTTTCCTCTGAGAATGACTCTTTCCACGACTTGTAGGTCAGTTTCAGAGACAAATTTACTGGTGATCAATGTATGAAGTCTGAAATCCGCTGCTGTATTTAAGAGGTGTTCTGTGATTTGTAGTTAGACAACATTTCAAAGAACACAGAACCACACATCTTTTCAAAATTAATAATAGTAAAGGTATTTGAAGGATGGCCTATGGTTTTCTTGCAAGAAAATTGCCATTTTTGCTAGAATAACTTCCACACTGGTTGAATGTTGAATTCATAAAAAATGTTTACCCATGGCTCAGGAAATGGACAACTGCCGCGGACCAGCCTCGCCAGGAGAGGGGAGGGGGCGGAAATGAGTCAAGGACGCAGGGAGTCAGGTTGGAGAGGTCTCAGCATCCCGCTGAGCCCCGAACTCCGTTTATTCAAGGCTTTTATTACAATTATGGGGAATAAGCAGGAGGGGGCCGTACCCAAGCCAGTTTCTTTGTCCTTTCTGCAAAGCTACTCTACGGAACAACAGGGGAACACAGGGTGCTATCAAAACTTCCCTGTTTATCAAGCACCGGTGCATGACCTACCCTTCTACAGGGAAACAGGCTGTCTATCTTATGCCAATAAGTTCTTGGGAAACCTATTGTCTACCCACAGCAGGTTCCAGGCAGGGAGCCAAGCAAGGTGGAGAGGAACTGTGCCACCGGGCAGCGGCCTTGCCAGCTGGCCCTGGCCCCCCCCCCCCCCCCCCCCCCCCCCCCGGCTTTGCCAAGGGGGGCTTACGACACATCTCCAGGAGCAGTGGCTATGCCGGCTAGTCCTGACCCCCTGGCTTTGCCATGGGGGACTAGTGGCGCCCACAGACAACTGAGAAAATAGTTTTTATTAAATTCAACCAGCATGTGTCCAACATCCAATACCAGTTTTTACAAAAAGCCCACATGTACAATGCAGGGTTAGAATTGTACAGAGAGAATGAGACATGACATTGCTCCCCAGTAGTTCTCTAGACGAGGCTTCACCCAGCAGACAGTAGCATGTGGTTAAGCACCAGGAGAGTGACACAGCTAATGCTTTTCTACATGATTCTTCTTTTAAAATATATTTTATTGATTATGCCATTACAGTTATTCTATTTCCACTCTTCATTCCCCTCCAACCTGCACACCCCCTCCCCCTACATTCCCCCCTTTAGTTTATGACCACGTGTCTCAAGTTCTTTAGATTCTATATTTCCCATACTATTCTTGCCCTCCCCCCTATCTATTTTCTACCTACCGTCTATGCTACTTATTTTCTGTACCTTCTCCCCCCTTCTCCTCTCCCCCTCCCTTGTTGCTAGCCCTCCATGGGATCTTCATTTCTACAGTTCTGCTCCTGATCTAGATGTCCTCTTAGTTTGCTTTTGTTTTAGGTGTGGTTGTTAATAATTGTGAGTTTGCTGTCCTTTCACTGTTCATATTTTTTATCTTCTTTTTCTTAGATAAGTTCCTTTAACACTTTATATAATAAGGGCTTGGTGATGATGAACTCCTTGAACTTGACCTTATCTGAGAAGCACTTTATCTGCCCCTCCATTCTAAATGAAAGCTTTGAGGGACAGAGCAATCTATTTGTAGGTCTTTGGATTTCATGACTTGGAATACTTCTTTCCGGCCCCTTCTTGCTTGTAAGGTCTCTTTTGAGGAGTCAGCTGACAGTCTGATGGGAAGTCCTTTGTAGGTGACTGTCCCCTTATCTCTTGCTGCTTCTAGGATTTTCTTCTTCATTTTAATCTTGGCTAATATAATTATGATGTGCCTTGGTGTGTTCTTCCTTGGGTCCAACTTCTTTGGGACTCTCTGAGCTTTCTGGAAGTCTATTGCCTTTGCCAGATTGCGGAAGTTCTGCTTTAATATTTGTTCAAATAAGTTTTCCACTTGTTGCTGTTCCTCTTCCCCTTCTGTAACCCCTATAATTTGAATGTTGGAACATTTAAAGATATCC